GTTTTTGAGATTTATTTGTGTTGATATACGTTTGTAGCTCTAGTTTAATTCATTTGACATACTGAACTAGCTGGGCACGGTGGCTCATACCTGTAACCCCAGCACTTCGGAAGGCTGAGGTGGGAGGTCACTTGAGGCCAAGAGTTCAAGACTAGCCCGGGCAACACAGTGAGACCCCATCCCCACACAAAATTTTAAAATTAGCCAGGAGTGGTGACGCGTGCCTGTAGTCCCATCTCCTTAGAAGGCTAAGGTGGAGCATTTGAGCCCAGGAGTTCAAGGCTACAGTGAGCTATGATCGTGCCACTGGACTCCAGCCTGGGCATCAGCAAGACTGTATAAAAAACAAACAAAAGCTGGGCTCAGGGGCTCAGCCTGTAATCCCGCGCCTTTGGGAGGCTGAGGTGAGTGGTTTGCCTGAGCCCACGGGTTTGAGAACGGCCTGGGCAGCGAGACCTCATCTCTACAATAAATCAAAAAATCAGCCGGGCATAGTAGTGCGTACCTATAGTTCTGGCCACTCGGAAGGCTGAGACAGAAGGATGGCCAGAGCTCAGCAGGTCGAGGCTGCGGTGGCCGGGAGCGGCCACTGCACTCCAGTCTGGGCTCCAACTCAAAAAACAAACAAAAATCATACTGAATCATATACTATTGTATGAATATGCAAAAATTTACTTGTCCTTTCTCTTGTTCATAGACATTTTCACGTGGCTCCAAATTTTCCTTTTTATTTTTTGAGTCAGAGTCTCACTGTGTCACTCTGGGCTCAGGAGATCTTTCCAGGTCAGCCTTCCAAGTGGCTAGAACAAAGGGCACGTGCCACCATGCCCAGCTAATTTTTTGATTTATTGTAGAAACGAGGTCTTGCCAAGTTGCCCAGGCTGGTCTCGAACCCATGGACTCAGACAATCTTCTCACCTCGGCCTCCCAAAGTGCTGAGATTTTAGACGTGAGTCACTGCGCCGCGCCCACATTTTCATTTTTAGAAACAAAGCTGCAACTCTCATTGTTACACCAGTCCACCTGTGTGCAGACGAGATGATTTCTATACCAAAGTGCTTCACAAATTCTCTGTTGCCAAAGAACTAAGTTGTTTTTTCCCCCAATCTGTTATGAATTGGTGCTTTGGTAAAAAAAAAAAATAAAAACAAATGGCCATGGTTGGGCATTGGTGGCTCAGCCCATAATCCCAGCACTTTGGGAGGCCGAGGCGTGGCTCAGCCCATAATCCCAGCACTTTGGGAGGCCGAGGCGAGAGGACTGCCTGAGCCCAAGAGTTCGAGACCCGCCTGGGCAACTTGGCGAGGCCTCGTCTCTACAATAAATCTAGAAAAATCTGCCGGGCGTGGTGGCGCGCATCTGCGGTTCCAGCTACTCGGAAGGCGGAGGCGGAAGGGTCGCCGGAGCCCAGCAGGGCGAGGCTGCGG